CCCCTCTACCCACCCCCATGTGCACACACCCACACCCACCCGTCCCATCCCCTTCCACCCATCACATGTTGTGACGAAGTGGGACTGTTCTTAATGTTTCCTCTGAATAGTGTGGGGTGCCTCAGTTTCCCCTAGGCAGTTCTTAAGTATCTAGGGGGTGGGATAAGGGTGTGTGATCGTTGCAGAGCCCTAGAGGGCAGGTGTGTGCAGGGGTCTGGACACAGACAATGGCCGACACCCTGTTTCCTGGCAACTGATGGCCTGGGCCCTTCCCCCCCTGCAAGGTGAGAGCTAAAGGGTTGGAGAACAAAGGGATCAGGTGACCTCCTGGCCCGCGAAAGGGACAAAGCCCAGAGGAGGAGGGGCTGGAGGGAGTTTCAGTTGGGGGCTGGGACATGGAGTGAAGGGCAGACGGGGTTGTCTGGCTCACTGCCCCCCAAAATGGACCCAGATAAGGGGTCCTGTTCTCTGCACCTACAAGCTCTGTGTTAGACCATGTTCCTGTCGTCTAATAAACCTTCTGTTTTACTGGCTGGCTGAGAGTCACGTCTGGCTGCGAAGTTGGGGGGCAGGACCCTCTGGCTTCCCCAGGACCCCGCCTGAGCGGACTCTCTGTGGAAAGCGCACGGAGGGGCAGAGGAGGCTGAATGCTCCGAGGTCAGACCCAGGAAGGTGGAGCCGGGTGAGCTGTGTGTCCTGCAGACAGGCTGCTCCCAGAGAGGAGACTTCCCCAGAGTCCTGCCTGGCTTCATGGGGAGCAGATCCAGAGCATCGCCCAGGGACTCCGTGACACATGTGCACACACCCCACCCACCCATCACATCCCCTCCACCCGCCCCGTGTGCACTCCCCCTTCCTCCCACCCGTCACACCCCCTTCCTCCCACCCCCATGTGCACACACACACCCCACGCACGCATCACCCCCCCTCCACACACACCCCTGTGTACACCCCCACCCCACCCCCAGTGAGGACACTCTAAGAACCACCCCCCTCCCATCTATTTGGTCCCCCCCACCACCACTTAACACTCAGATCCTGCCCCCACCACACTGGGCCTCATGCTGCCAGCTGGGGGGCGGGGGGGGGGCAGAGTCCACTAGAAACTCTCCCCCCACCAGCTCTAGGACTGGCAGGAATCCCCACCCCCATTTTACACATGAGGAGCCCAACACACACGCCCCCGCAGTCCCTCTCGCCCACCCTGCCCAGAGCTGGTCCCCCAGTTCATCACTGGCCAATCAACCACAGAGCCACGCCCCCATTTGGAGCATATGGGGATTTCCCCATTATCCCCCCCCCCCCAACACACATATACCTGCGGGAGGGGGGAGGCAGGAAGAAATCTCCCCACCCCACCCAGAACCCCCAGATCCCCTACACAACCGCCCAGCTAGCCCCACTGGCCTCCTACCCCACATGCAGCCCCCCCCTCCCCACAACTCCCCTAAACACAAAAGCCCCACATCCTCCACCCCCAGCCCCCACAAATCCACACTCCCCTCCCAGAGCCAGGCAGAGAACCCAGGAATCCTGGTTCCCGGCCACCTGCCTGCTCTAACCCAGCAAGGCCGGTGCCAAAGCCGCCCCCCATCCCTGGCCCTGGGACTTTTGCTCCTGGGTGTCTGGCCAGGAGGTCAAAGAGCCCCACGTCACTGCAGAGAACCCAGGAGTCCGGCTCCCAGCTCCCTTGCTCTAACTGCTAGACCCCGCTCCCCTCCCAGAGAACCCCAGGAGTCCTGACCCCCAGTTGTCAAAGAAGCTTAAAGAATAAAGCTTCAAGCGTTTGAAAGGTCACCCAGTATTAGGTATTTTGGGGCTTTTTTCAAGCAGAAACATGGAATTTTCCAGCCAGTCCCTAAAATAGCCGGAGTCGAGAAATCTAGTTCAGAGCCTAACAGAGCCATGGGCTGTGTGCTGGGAACAGGCTGCAATGTTCCCCCCTGACATGCGACCACACCTGGAGTGGGGCATGGGGGCTGGTTATACCGGGACCCCTCGCCCGGTGCTGAGACGTGGCCCCTCTGGGGTGGGGCGTGGGGGCTGGTTATGCTGGGAGCCCTCGCCCGGTGCAGAGACGCGGCCCCTCTGGGGTGGGGCGCAGGGGCTGGTTATGCCGGGAGCCCTTGCCCGGTGCTGAGACGTGGCCCCTCTGGGGTGGGGTGCGGCTGTGCGCGGGCTGGTTATACCATCAGCAGAAGGCAGAAGAGAGGACCCCAAGGCTGAGAGTGGGAGTGACTGTCTCCCCCCAAGTATGGCTCTCAGTGGAGTGGGGGGGGTCACTGACCCTGCAGGGTGGGGGGGGGGGTCTCTTACCTAGACACTGCAGTCCCTGCTTCCCAATCCCCCTAAAAGCAAGAGAGAAACACAATGTTACTCTAGGGCTCACAGCTGTCATGAGTTGCCCACACTCAGCTCACCCCAATACACATATTTAACATGCACCCCACTCCTCCCCTGCCCTAACATCTGCTATGCCACAAAGTAGGAGGCTGGGAACCAGGACTCCTGGGTTCTATCCCGGCTCTGGGAGGGGTGTGGGGGCTTGTGGTTAGAGCAGGGGGCTGGGAGCCAGGACTCCTGGGTTCTGTTCCCGGCTCTGGACCAACCAGTCCCTCTATGCTAAGACTAAAGGAAGGGCAGCAGCAGCAGAGCCCTGGGGGGGGGGGGGGTGAAGTGGGAAGGGGATGAGATGGGGGGTTCGGGGGGGGGGTCTCACCAGATGAAGTCAGCGCAGTGGCTGCAGAATGTGGGCTGGGGGGGCACTAGGGGGGGTCTGACCAGATGAAGTTGGTGCAGTGGCTGCCGAACGTGGGCTGGGGGCATTGGGGGGGCGCTAGGGGGTGCTGGGGGGGCGCTAGGGGGGTCTCACCAGAGGAAGTCGGTGCAGTGGCTGCCAAACGTGGGCTGGGGGCATTGGGGAGGCGCTAGGGGGGCGCTAGGGGGGTCTCACCAGATGAAGTCGGTGCACTGGCTGCCGAAAGTGGGCTGGGGGCATTGGGGGGGAGCTAGGGGGTGCTGGGGGGCGCTAGGGGGTCTCACCAGATGAAGTCGGTGCAGTGGCTGCAGAAGGTGGGCTGGGGGCATTGGGGGGGCGCTGGGGGGGCGTTAGGGGGGGTCTCACCAGATGAAGTCGGTGCAGTGGCTGCAGAAGGTGGGCTGGGGGCATTGGGGGGCGCTGGGGGTGCTGGGGGGGCGCTAGGGGGGTCTCACCAGATGAAGTCGGTGCAGTGGCTGCAGAAGGTGGGCTGGGGGCATTGGGGGGGCGCTGGGGGGGGCGCTAGGGGGATCTCACCAGATGAAGTCGGTGCAGTGGCTGCAGAAGGTGGGCTGGGGGCATTGGGGAGGCGCTAGGGGGCGCTAGGGGGGTCTCACCAGATGAAGTCGGTGCACTGGCTGCCGAAAGTGGGCTGGGGGCATTGGGGGGGAGCTAGGGGGTGCTGGGGGGGCGCTAGGGGGGTCTCACCAGATGAAGTCGGTGCAGTGGCTGCAGAAGGTGGGCTGGGGGCATTGGGGGGGGCGCTGGGGGTGCTGGGGGGGCGTTGGGGGGGTCTCACCAGATGAAGTCGGTGAGTGGGAGAAGGTGGGTGGGGGATTGGGGGGGGGGGGGGTGTGGGGGGGGGGGGTCTCACCAGATGAAGTCGGTGCAGTGGCTGCAGAAGGTGGGCTGGGGGCATTGGGGGGGCGCTGGGGGTGCTGGGGGGGCGCTAGGGGGGGTCTCACCAGATGAAGTCGGTGCAGTGGCTGCAGAAGGTGGGCTGGGGGCATTGGGGGGGCGCTGGGGGTGCTGGGGGGCGCTAGGGGGGTCTCACCAGATGAAGTCGGTGCAGTGGCTGCAGAAGGTGGGCTGGGGGCATTGGGGGGGCTGGGGGTGCTGGGGGGCGCTGGGGGGGTCTCACCAGATGAAGTCGGTGCAGTGGCTGCAGAAGGTGGGCTGGGGGCATTGGGGGGGCGCTGGGGGTGCTGGGGGGCGCTGGGGGGGGGGGGGGGGGCGTGGGGGTGGGGGGGGGGGGTCTCACCAGATGAAGTCGGTGCAGTGGCTGCAGAAGGTGGGCTGGGGGCATTGGGGGGGCGCTGGGGGTGCTGGGGGGGCGCTAGGGGGGGTCTCACCAGATGAAGTCGGTGCAGTGGCTGCAGAAGGTGGGCTGGGGGCATTGGGGGGGCGCTAGGGGGGTCTCACCAGATGAAGTCGGTGCAGTGGCTGCAGAAGGTGGGCTGGGGGCATTGGGGGGGCGCTGGGGGGGCGCTAGGGGGGATCTCACCAGATGAAGTCGGTGCAGTGGCTGCAGAAGGTGGGCTGGGGGCATTGGGGGGGCGCTGGGGGTGCTGGGGGGGCGCTAGGGGGGGTCTCACCAGATGAAGTCGGTGCAGTGGCTGCAGAAGGTGGGCTGGGGGGCATTGGGGGGGCGCTGGGGGGCGAGAGGGGTCCAAGAGAAAGGTAGGGGGGGGGGGGGGAGGGGGGGGGGGGGGGGTGGGGGGCGCTGGGGGTGCTGGGGGGGCGCTAGGGGGGGTCTCACCAGATGAAGTCGGTGCAGTGGCTGCAGAAGGTGGGCTGCTTGAAGAATCGCGCCGTGAATTTGTGGCTCTTGACCTCGTGGATCACCTTCTGGCGCAGCGCCCCCTTGCGGCAGAACAGCGGCTTGGCCAGGCACTCCAGCTCGGTGGGCGAGGTGACCAGCGCCATGGCTCCACCTGGGCCCCCCAGTCCCGGGCGGGAGTGGTGGGAGGGGGGGAAGAAAGACAGAAAGAGGAAAGGGGGAATGGAGGGAAGGGAGGGACTGGGTGGATGGAGGAGGCAGAAGGGATGCACAGAAGAGAAGGAGGGGGAGAAAGCAGGGGATGGAGGGAGAGAAGAGATGGAGTGATGGAGAGAAGGAGGCAGGGAACGGAGGGATGGGAGAGAGAAGGAAGGGAGGGAGGAGAGAGGGATGGAGAGAAGGCAGAGGACGGAGGGATGGAGAGAGAAGGAAGGAAGGGAGGAGAGAGGGATGGAGAGAAGGCAGAGGACGGAGGGATGGGAGAGAGAAGGAAGGAAGGGAGGAGAGAGGGATGGAGAGAAGGCGGAGGACGGAGGGATGGGAGAGAGAAGGAAGGAAAGGAGGAGAAAAGGGATGGAGAGAAGGCAGAGGACGGAGGGATGGGAGAGAGAAGGAAGGGAGGGAGGAGAGAGGGATGGAGAGAAGGCGGAGGACGGAGGGATGGGAGAGAGAAGGAAGGAAGGGAGGAGAAAAGGGATGGAGAGAAGGCAGAGGACGGAGGGATGGGAGAGAGAAGGAAGGAAGGAAGGGAGGAGAGACGAATGGAGAGACGGCAGAGGACGGAGGGATGGGAGAAGAGATGCGGGACAGGGAGAAGGAGGGATGAGAGCAGGGGGGATGGAGAACGAGGGATGGAAGCGGAGGCGGGGACCGGAGGGCTGAAGGCGACAGCGGAGCGGAGGTTCCCAGCCGCCGCCGCCGGGGGCCGAGGTGGGGACAGGCGCGCCGGCAGGGAAGCTGCCGGCCGGTCGGGCAGTGTGTCGGCTGTGGGGGGAGAGCGGCGGGGGGAGGCGGGTCTCTGACGGCTCCGGGGGAGGAGTCGGCCTTAAAGGAGAACGGAGCCGGGCGGGGGGGGGCGTTCCCTGAGGGGGGCCTGAGAAGGACACCCCCAAATGTAGATCCCCACGGACAGACACCCGACCCCCCCTCCAGATCCCGAATCCCCCCAGTTCCCAGCTCTGGGAGGGTAGGAGGCAAGAGGAGTGACGGGGCTGGGAGCCAGGACTCCTGGGTTCTCTCCTGGGGTCTGGGCGGGGAGTGTGGACTAGTGGTTAGAGTGGGTGGGGGGTGGCTGGGAGTCAGGACCCCTGGGTTCTCCGCAGTGACGTGGGGCTGTTTTGCTCCTGGGTGCCTGGCCGGGAGGTCAGAGTCCCAGGGACGGGGGTGGTTAATCGATAACCTGGGGGGGGGGGTATTTATATCCAGGGCCGGGGACACTGGCTTCACAGGGACGTCGCAGGACCCCGCCTGCCATGCCCTACGGTGCCTCCCTCCTCCTGCTGCTTCTGCTGCCCTGGGGCAGTCACTGCACCACAGGTGAGGGGCAGGGGACCCCCCCACCCGCTGGCATATCTTCCCGCCAGCCGCCTGCCTACCCCCCCCCCGGGCTCCCCCACCCGCTGGGTTCACAGGCTTCCCCCTCCCCTCTCTGAGGGTTTCCCCCATACCCTTCCCCCGCCTGCCGGTGTCCTCCCTTCTCCCCTCCCTCGTCAGGGTAACCCCGCAGCTCACCCCCCCCCCGCTGGCCTCGCGTCCCCCTCCCTCACTAGGGACCCCCCGGCTCCCTGCCTCTTCCCCCTCTCCCCCCCAGGGGTCCTTCCACCCCCTCTTCTCTACCCCCCAGGGAGGGGGGCTATAGACTGGAGGGGGGATCCCGCACTCCCAGGGAGTGGGGCTGGGGGGGGGATCCCGTGCCCCCAGGGAGGGGGCCTATAGACTGGAGGGGGTGACCTCGCCTCCCCTGCCCCCACTCGAGGAGTGGGTCTGGCTCAGCCGCCTGCCCTTGTCCCGTGTGATTTTGTTCCCAGGTAATTGTCCCGGCTGGGGCTTTAAACAGCCTTTGCTAGAAACCAGGGAGGGGCCCCAGTTCTCAGCCCCAGAGAAGTGACCCCCAGGGCCCCCACCATGGGCTGGGCAGGATTGAGAAAGAGATGGAGGGATAGATAGATGGATGGATGGATGGGGATGGGGGGGTGGATGGGGATAGAGAGAGGAGGGGGTGGATGGGGAAGGGGGGGTGGATGGGGATGGGGGGGATATGAGGATGGACGAATGGTGCATGGGGCCAGGTGAACAGACAGGTGTCTGGGGGATGGACACCCCGCCAGGCTTCCCAGCCGGTACGGAGGGGAGAATTCTGCCCCCCCAGCCCCCACCCCGGCGCCCAGAGGCACTCGCAGGCCCTGCCCCACCAGCTGGTAGCTATGGTGGGGACTGCAGGGGCCCCTTTCCCCTACAGGCAACCTGCCCTCCTACCTTCCTGTTAAAGTGAGGGGGTCTTCGGCGGGGGGAGGGAAATGTTTGTAAGAGGCCCCCCCTCTTCAAACTGCCCCATTTCTAACAGCAGTTTTGGGGGGGGGGCCCTGTGTAAACAGCTGAGTGGGAGCCAGGACTTCTGGATTCTATTTGCTGTGACTTCCTTCCCCTCCTTTTATGCCTCAGTTTCCCACCTATACAAGCCACCCCAACAGCTCCCCTTCATGTCCCCACAGGCGCAGATGGGCCCAGTCCCTGCCCAGCCCGGAGGGAGGCGCCGGCAGAGGGAATGGGCCAGACCTGCCAGAGGACCTGCACCCAGGACCGCGACTGCTCTGGCCGCAGGCAGTGCCTGTGTGATGGGGCCTGCGGGCTGAGCTGTGTGATACCTGGTAGGCGCCGGGACTGCTGCTGGCTCCCAGCCCCCACCCCCCAGCTCTAACCACTAGACCCCACTCCCCTCCCTGAGCCGGGACCCAACCAGGGAGTCCTGGCTCCCAGCCCCCCTACTCTAATCACTAGACCCCACTCCCCTCCCTGAGCCGGGACACAACCAGGGAGTCCTGGCTCCCACCCCCCCAGCTCTAACCACTAGACCCCACTCCCCTCCCTGAGCCGGGACAAAACCAGGGAGTCCTGGCTCCCACCCCACTCCTCTCCCTGAGCTGGGACACAACCAGGGAGTCCTGGCTCCCAGCCCCCCCCACTCTAACCACTAGACCCCACTCCCCTCCCTGAGCCAGGACACAACCCAGGAGTCCTGGCTCCCAGCCCCCCCACTCTAACCACTAGACCCCACTCCCCTCCCTGAGCTGGGACACAACCCAGGAGTCCTGGCTCCCAGCCCCCCCACTCTAACCACTAGACCCCACTCCTCTCCCCAAGCCGGGACACAACCAGGGAGTCCTGGCTCCCAGCCCCCCCACTCTAACCATTAGACCCCACTCCCCTCCCTGAGCTGGGACACAACCCAGGAGTCCTGGCTCCCAGCCCCCCGACTCTAATCACTAGACCCCACTCCCCTCCCCGAGCCGGGACACAACCCAGGAGTCCTGGCTCTCTCCATCCCAACTGTCTTTGCGTTTCCCAGGCCGGACCTGCCCGTGGCCCGTGCAGATTGATAACGCCAAGACACATTTGGCCCAGGCTTCCCGCGGCTTCGGGGCCCTCATGGAGGTGACCTGCCAGCCAGGCTTCAGGATGTCCAAAGGGCAGGGAGCGGCGCTGAGCCGATGCCAGGGGGACAGGAAGTGGAGTCTGACGGCATCCTGCGAACGTAAGGGACGGGAACACCTCCGCCAGTCACCAGTCGGGGCCTTCGCCATCCTCCACCCTGCAGAGCCAAGCACCGTGATCCTACTTCCAGCACCATCACCCAACACCCGTCCCCAACCCTGTCACCCTGTCCCCAACCCCGTCACCCAACATCCTCCCCCAAGACTGTCATCCAACACCCGCCCAACCCCATCACCCCATCCCCAACCCCATCACCCAACACCCTCCCCAACCCCGTCACCCTGCCCCCAGCACCGTCACCCAACACCCGCCCCAACACTGTCACCCCGCCCCAACACTGTCACCCCACCCCCAACCCCGTCACCCCACATCCGCCCCAAACACCGTCACCCTTCCCCAACACCATCATCCAACATCCGCCCCACCCCAACCCCATCACCCCACCCCCAACCCCATCACCCTGCCCCCAGAACCATCACCCAACATCCACCCCAACATCACCACCCCGACCCCGGCACCATCACCCAACACCCGCCCCCAACACTGTCACCCCGCCCCAACCCCGTCACCCCACATCCGCCGCAAACACCATCACCCTGCCCCAACACCATCATCCAACATTCGCCCCACCCCAACCCTATCACCCCACCCCCAACCCCGTCACCTAACATCCGCCCCAACATCACCACCCCGCCCCCAGCACCGTCACCCAACACCCGCCCCCAACACCGTCACCCCGCCTCAACACCGTCACCCAACATCCACCCCATCACCCCGCCCCTGGCCCCATCACCCTGCCCCAACACCATCATCCAACATCTGCCCTGCCCCAACCCCTGCCCCAACCCCATCACCCAACACCCGCCCCAACGTCATCACCCAACACCCACCCCAGCGTCATCACCCCGCCCCCAGCACCGTCATTCACGCTGGCAGTTGCAAAGGGCAGGCTGCTCTCTAGGCAGTGAGCTGATCAGGATGAGTCCCGGGGCTGATTCAAGGATAACGGATCCCCTGGCAAGCGGAGACCTAGATATGAAGGCAGAGCAGCTCTCCTGGACCTGCGTCCTCCTCCAGCCCACCCCCAGGGGGAGTCAGGGAACACAGCATCTGGAGCAAGGGGGCCGGCGCTAAATAGGGTTAGGGGACCGCCTCCCCGGGGGGACCGAGCTCTGGGCCACATGGAAACTGTCCCACCACCCCCCGCGACAGTACGCTTGCGGGAAGGGCTGGAAGCCAGGACTCCTGGGTTCTTTCCCTGGTTCTGGGAGGGGAGTGCAGTCTAGTGGTTAGAGCAGGGGGGCTGGGAGCCATGACGCCTGGGGTCTATCCCAGCTCTGGAAGGACAATGAGGAGAGCGGGGGGTTGGGAGGCAGGAACTTCACCTCCAAAACCAATTTACTCCCCTGAATTTTCCCCTCAGAGCCAGGACTCTGCCTCCTCCCTAAAATTCCAGTGAAATAAGAGAAATGTTCCCCTCCAAGCCTCAGATGCTGCCCCCCCCAAAAAAAAAATTAGAGCCAGATCCTCAATCTAAACTCTGAACCCCCAAATTGGGTGACCCCTCCACTCCAAGATGATCTCTGACCCTTCGGCTCCAGCCACGAGGGAAGGAGCCAAAGTCTTCTTTATTCCCCCCCACATGAAATCTTCCCCGCCCCATGCCACCCAGGAGAGAGATGGAGCCTGTTGGGGGGAGCAGAACCCAGGAGTCCGGGAGATGCAGCGTTCGGGGAGGGACCTACTCCCAGCAAAACCCACGGGGTTCCCCCACTTGTCTGGGAATTACAGCCCCAAGGGAAAGGCTTTGGAGGAGAGGCGGAGCTAAATAAGGGGAGGAGCCAAATGTGGAATGGGGTGGGGCCTGCTGGGAGGGGGAGGAGGCAAATGGGGCAGAAGGGGAGGAGTTTACAGAGAAGGAGAAGCCAAATTGGGTAGGAGGGGCCAAATGGGGCAGAGGAGAGTCTTACCATGAAAAGGGAGGAGGCAAATAAAGGAATTGCAGGGCGCAATGGGACAAGGAAGGTCCCAGTGGGGATGGAGTCTACTGAGAGGGAGGAGCAAATGGGAAAGGGGAGGGGCCTATTGGAAGAGGGTGGGGCAAGGGCCTGTCTCTTAAAGGGAGACTGCCCCACCTTCTGCAGGTGTAAAGGGGAAGGAACCTAAAAATATATCTTCCCCTTGCTGAGGGAGGCCTTTAATGGCTCTTTGTGTCTGGAGGATGCTAAGGGTTAAGGGGGAGGAACTTGGCTGCCAGACAGCGGTGACCCCCCCCCCAAGTTGACTCCCCTCCCCCTCCCGTCCTCTGTTCCAGGGGATCTGGCCCCGTCGTCCTTCTGCAGCCCCCCGCCAGAGACCGACAATGGATTTCACAGCGGTGCCTCCTACAGGGCAGGCGGGGAGGTGCGGTACAAGTGCAAGCGCGGGTGAGTCCCCCCCCCCAGTTCTGCTGGTGCCCCTCACTCCCGACCCGCAGCCCCCTGCAAGCCCAGCCCAGGGCTCCCCCCCCCCACCCCGCACACCAGCCCTGCCATTGCCCCTCACTGCCGACCCGCAGCCCCTCAGAGAGCCCAGCCCCATCTGCAACCTCACCTCTCCCCCCGCTCCTCAGGTACCGGCTGGAGGGCCCAGAGACCATCCGATGCCAGGAGAACCAGGAATGGTCTGGGCCCGCCCCAACCTGCCACCGTGAGTAGGGCGAAGGGGGGCAGGGGTGGAGGGTCCTAGTTTCTCTCTGTCCCCATCTGCCCCCATGCCGGGGCTGGCCCATCCTCCTGGGCTCCAGTGCCAGGCCGGGCCCCCTCCCAGCTTGGAGGGAAGGTGGGGGGCTGGGACGGTGCTCTTGGAGGGGGTTGTGAGGGAGCTTGGGGGATGCCCTAGAGAGATAGAGACATGCGCCCTCCCTCCCCAGCCCCCTTCCCTTCATCCCTCCATCCACTGCTGCATCCCCCCCATCTGCCACGTATACCCTGCATCCTCTCCAGCCATCCACCCCACACACACCCCCATCTGCCCCCTACATCCCCTCCAGCCATCCACCCGCCACACCCCCTATCCATCCACACACCCCCATCCACCTGTCACATCCCCATCTGCCTCCACATCCCCTCCAGTCATCCACCTGTCACACCCGCATCTGCCCCCCACATCCCCTCGAGCCATCCACCCGCCACACCCCCATCTGCCCCCTACATCCCCTCCAGCCGTCCACCCCCCACACGCCCCCATCTGCCCCCTACATCCCCTCCAGCCATCCATCCCCCACACCCTCATGTCCCCCCACATCCTCTCCAGCCATCCACCCCCACACACCCCCATCCATCCCCACACCCGCATCCACCCCCCACATTCCCTCCAGCCATCCACCCCCCACCCTCCTGCATCCCTGTACCCCCCATGCAGCCTCCATCTCTCCACCCAGCCCTTCGTCCTTCCCTCCCCCTGGCCCTGCTCTGTCCTTCCCCCGGGCCTGGCCGTGACCCCCTCTCTCCCCCAGCCGTGTTCTGCCCACCCCCCGGGGACATCGCCGAGGGCTACCTGGTGGCGGTGGAGAAGGCTCAGTACCGGGCCGGGGAGCTGGTCTATTACCTCTGCAAGCGCAGCTACCTGCTGGACGGCACCAACCGGGTCACCTGCCGGGGCAACGGCACCTGGTCGCCCCGGCCCTTCTGCAGAGGTACCGCCCCCCCCCCCTCCCCTCCTCCCCCAGAACCTCCAGCCAGAGCCACAGGCCCATCTACCCCGGTATCCCGCCTACTCCCATCCCTGCCTGATCAGCCCTGGGCCTATCTACCCTGATATCCCCTGTCCTCCCATCCCCACCCCGTGATCAGCCCCCGGGCCCATCTACCCCGGTATCCCGCCTACTCCCATCCCTGCCCGATCAGCCCTGGGCCCATCTACCCTGGTATCCCCTGTCCTCCCATCCCCACCCCGTGATCAGCCCCCGGGCCCATCTACCCCGGTATCCCGCCTACTCCCATCCCTGCCCGATCAGCCCTGGGCCCATCTACCCTGGTATCCCCTGTCCTCCCATCCCCACCCCGTGATCAGCCCCCGGGCCCATCTACCCCAGTATCCCGCCTACTCCCATCCCTGCCCGATCAGCCCTGGGCCCATCTACCCTGGTATCCCCTGTCCTCCCATCCCCACCCCGTGATCAGCCCCCGGGCCCATCTACCCCGGTATCCCGCCTACTCCCATCCCTGCCCAATCAGCCCTGGGCCCATCTACCCTGGTATCCCCTGTCCTCCCATCCCCACCCCGTGACCAGCCCCCGGGCCCATCTACCCCAGTATCCCGCCTACTCCCATCCCTGCCCAATCAGCTCTGGGCCCATTTTACCCTGGTATCCCTTGTCCTCCCATCCCCACCCCGTGATCAGCCCCTGGGCCCATCTACCCCGGTATCCCGCCTACTCCCATTCCTGCCCGATCAGCCCCTGGGCCCATTTACCCCGGTATCCCCTGTCCTCCCATTTCCCCCCCCGCCCCCGTGATCAGCCTCCAGGCCCATCTACCCCGGTATCCCGCCTACTCCTATCCCTGCCCGATCAGCCCCGGGCCCATCTACCCTGGTATCCCCTGTCCTCCCATCCCCCCCCACCCCCCCCCGGCCCATCTACCCCAGTATCCCGCCTACTCCCATCCCTGCCCAATCAGCTCTGGGCCCATTTTACCCTGGTATCCCTTGTCCTCCCATCCCCACCCCGTGATCAGCCCCTGGGCCCATCTACCCCGGTATCCCGCCTACTCCCATTCCTGCCCGATCAGCCCCTGGGCCCATTTACCCCGGTATCCCCTGTCCTCCCATTTCCCCCCCGCCCCCGTGATCAGCCTCCAGGCCCATCTACCCCGGTATCCCGCCTACTCCTATCCCTGCCCGATCAGCCCCCGGGCCCATCTACCCCGGTATCCCACCTCCTCCCATCCCCCCACATCAGCCCCTGGGCCCATCTACCCCGGTATACTGCCCTCTCCCTGCCCCCAGATCAGCCCCATGGGCCCTGGTATCCTGCCCCCTCCCCGCCCCCTGGATCAGCCCCCTGGACCCATCTACCCGTTATCCCGCCCCTCCCTGCCCCTCCCCAGCTGGAGCCACGGGCCCATCACCCCAGTATCCCGTCTCCCCGCAGCGCGCTGCGTGGTGCCCGCCCAGCGGAGCCGTGTGCTCTACCAGGGCCGCAAGCTCTGGATCCAGGAGATCCCAGAAGGGCAGGTCCAGCACGGGGAGATCGTCACCTTCTACTGCCGGAGCCAGAACCAGACCCAGAGCTGCAGCTACCCGGCCCCCTCGCACTGCTTCGATGGCCTGCTGCCCCTGCCGGCCTGCTACAACGGTGAGGGGCAGGGGGCTGGGGTGGCACGGGGAAGCCGTTGGGGGAGCTATGGGGCAGTGGGGGGGGCAAGGAGAGAGCCGTTGGGGAGCTATGGAGAAATGGGGGCAGGGAGGGAGCCGTGGGGAGCTATGGGGAAGTGGGGGCAGGGAGGGAGCCATGGGGGCAAGGAGAGAGCTGTGGGGGGAGCTATGGGGCAGTGGGGGGCAGGGAGAGAGCCATGGGGGGAGCTATGGGGCAGTGGAGGGCAGGGAGAGAGCCATGGGGGGAGCTATGGGGCAGTGGGGGGCAGGGAGGGAGTCGTTGGGGAGCTATGGGGAAGTGGGAGGCAGGGGGGGAGCTGTTGGGGAGCTATGGGGCAGTGGAGGGCAGGGAGGGAGCTGTTGGGGAGCTATGGGGAAGTGAGGGCAGGGAGGGAGCCGTGGGGGCAAGAGATGTACTGGGGGGGCGGTTGTGTGGGGACAGGGAGCTGTAGGGAGGCAGTAGGAAAGGGGTGGGGGTGTAGATCTGTGGGGGGAGGGGTATGTCCACAGGGCAGGGGGCGGAGGAGGTGGATCCTGGAGGGAAAAGAGGGGAGTCCGGTGGGGGGAGAGCTGAAGAGGATGGAGGGAGCCCTGTGGGGTTCAGGGGAATTCAGAGGGGAGCTGCAGGGGTGCTGGGGGTATTTTTGCCCCACTCCCCTCCTCACCCCTGACCCCGTCTCATTTCAGAGCCCACCTGGCTGCAGTACAAACTGTTCCCCAAGCGGGTGGTGTCCGAGATCCGCCCCTGCTGAGCCCCCCCGGCCCCCCACACCCACACACAGCCTGACCGGATGGACCGCCCATGTGGCGGGGAGGAGCCAGTGGCCAGCAGGGGACCCGCTGGACAATGCTCCTTTCGTGGGAGGACCAATCGTGTGAAAGCTCCTCGTGCGAGGGCCCCAGATTGCAAAGGCTGCTTGTGCAAAGGTCCAGTTGTGTGAGGAGCCCGTCGGGCGAAGGCCCCATTGTGCAAAGAAGGTCCCCTCGTGCAAAGGCCCTATCGTGCACAGACTGCGATGCCAAGGCCCCAGTGTGAGTTCCCATTGTGCGAAGGCCTCGTTGTGCAAAGGACCCATCGTGCGAGAGCCCCATCGTGCACAGGCTGCAGTGCCAAGGGCCTACCGTGAGATGGTCTTATCGTTCGAGGTCCCATCTTGCAAGGGCCTGTCGTGCAAAGGGCCCATCGGTACCAGGGCCCCATTGTGCTGGGCATGAAAGAGCTGTGGGCGGAGTGGGGCAGTGGAAGGGGGCTTCCCTGCCCCCATTCAGTGAATTCCAGTTGTCAGGGGGATCCAGTCCTGGCTTTAGAGCCCATCTCCGCCCCAATAGATAACTGGGGGGGGGAGAAAATCAAGGAAACTCCATTCCAGCTGGCAGTGGGATCCAGTGCCGGGTTTTCCCTCCCCCCCATAGGGCACACTTGGGCAATCCATGGTGGGAGGAATCCTATCGAGTCCATTCCTGCTGCCAGGGAGATCCAGTGCCGGGTTCCCCCGGCCTGCAGTCCCAGAAGGACCAGTCCATGGGACGGGGGGGGGGGGGGAGAGGGGAATCTAGTCGAGTCCATTCCAGCTGGCAGGGAGATCCAGTGCCGGGTTTTCTCCTCCCTGTGGCCTCAGTGAAATCCTGGCCCGGATTTCCACACCTGGAGTGGACTCTGAGTCCATCTCTGTGGCAGGAGGTGGGGGACCATGCCCGGGAGGTCTCTGCTCTCTGGAGGGGGAAGGGGGCAGAGCGGGGGCTGTACGTTCACTTGTATTTATTGGCTGTGAGGTTGCCATTTTTAGTAGAGAAATAAAACAAAGCATGATGCTGAAATCTATCCCAGAATCCTCTGGGGCCTGGAATTGGGTGGGGAGGGAAATGCCCCACAAAGGGATGATTTTGGGGTTCACCAGAAGAACGCACTGCTATGGGATAATATTAGAGTCACCCAGGGAACTCCCTGCTACAGCATATCAGGGTTCCCCAAAAAGGATAATATGAGGGGTCACCTGAGGAACTCCCTGCTACAGGCTAATAGCACAGGTCACCTTGGGAACTCCTCACTATGGGATATATTGGGGTCACCTGGTGGCACCCCTCTGATATCAGGGTTCATCCAGGGAATCCCTTCGCTAGAGCATAATAGTTTTCATTCTCAGGGTCCCCCCAGGATAATATCAAGGCACCCAGGATCTCCCTGCAATGGGATAATATTGGGGGGTTCACATCCCTGCTATGGCTAATATCAACATTCACCCAGGAGACCCCTGCCCTGTGGGATAATATTGGGGTTCACTCAGGGGGACCCTTCCAGACTCATATCAGGGTTCAACAGGAAAAATCTCCCTGCTATGGGAAAATATTCTGGTTGAACACAGGGAATTACCCCTTGTGAGCTCATTTTGGGGTTCAGCCAGGGGAACACTCCCTTGACTGGTAATTTTGGGGTTCAGCTGAGAAACTCCCTGCTGCAAGGGATCCCCCTTTTCTCTCTTCCTCAGTGCTTCTACCAACACACCCCAAAATCCCTCTCCCAGGAAACCTACATGGTGGGGGTCAAATTCCCCAGAGCTGGGTGGTGGCATTGTGGGGGCTCACACTTCCCCTTCTCCCAGGCAGGCAGCTTCCTGGAATAGGGCCTGGGCAGCGTCCAATGCAGGCAGCCAGGGAACAAAAGGCCAAAGACCTGATACTATTCACGCACAAACAGAACAGGGGCGCGGAGGTGAAGGACTCCGGGAAGGAGGGGGACAAGGATGGGGGGGGTCAGTGTGTCCATCCCTATCCCACCCCAGACCACAGCGACTTGCCTCCCCCAACCACAGGAGCGGTGCCCCGTGCTGTTAAACCCAGGACATGTCACCTTTAGCCTGCGGAACTGACCGACACATGAGTTAGCATGGCCTCAGGGGCAGTGGACCTTCCTGGGCCCAGAGTGAGGTCAGGAAGGGCTGTGAGGTTCCCTCATCCCCCAGATGCATTACAGGGGGGAGGGGAGTAGGGGGCTGGACCAGCCTTTCCTTATGGGGAGTTATTCCTCCATTGCCCATGTGGGGGTGTTTGGTATCTTCCTTTGACTTTGACAAAGCTACAACTGACCACTATCTGAGACCGAGGTAGATGGGCCCATGCCTCTGGACGAGGGGGGCAGGGAGGGGTGGGATACCAGGGTAGATGGGCCCATGGCTCTGGTCCAGGGGGCAGGGACGGGTGGTGAGATACCAGGGTAGATGGGCCTGTGACTCTGGTCTGGGGGGCAGGGCGGGGTGGGATACCAGGGTAGATGGGCCCGTGGCTCTGATCCAGAGGCAATGAAGGGGGCAGGATACCGCGGTAGATGGGCCCGTGGCTCTGATCTGGGGAGCAGGAAGGGGGTGGGATACCAGGGTAGATGAGACCATGCTGTGGTGCAGGGGGCAGGATACCTGTCACCTCTGTGTTCTTGGTGAACCAGGGCGCAGTATCCAGTCTGTCTGACTCACAAAAGACCTCCATCTACCCCGCACTCCCCCAAGCCTCTGCTTGCATCAAAACTGCTCCGAAGACAGATTTACAAAAAACAATGGAAAGGCCGTGGGAGACCCACCGAAACCCCTGGGAAGAGGGTGACAGGATTAAGGCAACTCCCCGGCCTCATGTGCATCGGAGGTGGGACAAGGAGGCATCTCCATCAGCCTACAGCCTGGACACCAGAGATCCCAAGGCAAGACCCGCAGGGAACTCTGGGAGCAGGGAAGCACGGCACGCTGGGGGATCGCTGCTCCCGATGTTAATGAACCCACGCCTGCACACCCCCAGCTCAGCAGTTATCAGCCCAATTCTAGTATTGACTCCTTTACTGGTATCCAAAATACTGAAGCTCCCTAATTGTATTGTGAGCTCCCTGGAAGGAACACCGTCCATAGCCAGGAATGATCAGCTCCTGTTGTCTAGTCTGAACAAAACAACGTTGGTATCCTCCCTTGGGCCAACAATTTACCCCCAAACACATCTAATGTTCTTCCTTGAACCACTGTTCTTGCCCTACCCCTCTACCCACGCTCAAGTAAGTGCTCTGACACCTGGATCCAAAATCTGCATCGGTTCCATTGGGACTTCATCCTCTCCTGACTGATCGTGCTGGGGGCTCTGCCTGTCTCCTGGACCCGCAGCTACCCCCCCCACCTGGGACCCCTGCTCGATTCAAGCTTCACAGAGTGGCGAGAACCCAGCTCTCTCTCGGTGTAGCCTTCTGACCCTGGCTTGTGTGATCCGTTCTAGTTTTCTAAACCTGCCTTTTACAATCAAGTTTTAGTTTGATTTAATATTATAACCGCTTTGTTTGTTTGGCTCCTCTCTGGCTATTACCTGGCAATAAATAACTTTCACGGTTAAGCTGGTTGCTTCTCTCTCTCTCTTTGTCCCCGTTGTGGGTGTTTTTTTGGCTTCCCCATTCGCTCTGCAGCGACACTCCTTGTACCTAAGCTAAAGATCCCAGCAGGGCCCAAAACTCCTGTGGGGTTTGCTCATCAAGTGGGTTCCTGCCAGGGCAATTGTGCCGTGAAAGTGAGGATAGGGACATGCTGAACCGGGGACATAGGAGGGTGGCACCTTAGAAGTGCTGCTCGACCCGGTCTGCTGAGTCTGGGGGCATATAAGGGGTCAGCTTGGGGGTGCTGATTAACCGGGTCCTCTCCGATGCGCTGTGTGTGTGTGTTCATCCGATTCTGGGGCTGGAGGAAGCCAGCCCAGGGGAACCGAGGTCCTGCAGGAAGCTCCGTTGGGAGGGACCGTGCAGCAGGGAGAGGCAGAGCTCCGTATGAGACCACCAGTGACATAACCAGCATGTTAATAGAAATACAGAACCCCCCCACCCAAAGAGTAACCCTAATAAATGAGCGTACCCCAAAGTAACGGGCAAATCTGGTAACACCAGGGCTCTGGTCCGGTGGGCAGGGAGGGGGTGGGATACCAGGGTAGGTGGGCCCATGGGGCTGATCGGGGGGGTAGGGAGGGGTGAGATACCGGGGTAAATGGGCCTGTGGGGCTGATCGGGGGGGCAGGGAGGGGTGGGATACCGGGGTAAATGGGCCTGTGGGGCTGATCGGGGAGCAGTGAGGGGGCGGGATACTGGGGTAGATGGGCCTGTGGGGCTGATCGGGGAGCAGTGAGGGGGCAGGATACCGGGGTAGATGGGCCTGTGGGGCTGATCGGGGAGCAGTGAGGGGGCAGGATACCGGGGTAGATGGGCCTGTGGGGCTGATCGGGGAGCAGTGAGGGGGCGGGATACTGGGGTAGATGGGCCCAGGGGGCTGATCGGGGGGGGGGGGGGGAGGGGGCAGGCTATGTCCTGTGCTCTAGGTTTCCCATGGCCCTGAGGGTTAATGATTAGAGCCTGGAGGGGAACAGGGGTCTTATCAGAAGTCCAGGGAACAGCTGCGGTGGGGAGGGGAGGAGGATTTCCCAACCCAGGGGACTGGGGGAAGGGGTATAGAACAAATGGCCCAGGAAGATGTGCTTCCCATCAGACCTTGGGGCCAGGAGGGGGGGCTGTCCCCCCGGGCAATGGGGGAGCCTAACAGAAGAGCCCAGGGTGGGGTTGCTGTGGCACGGGTAGGGAAACTGAGGCAGAGAGAGGGGCAGCAACATGGCCAGTATCATTAAGCACAAGAATGCAAGAGCCGGGGATAGAACCCAGGAGTCCTGGCTCCCATCCCCCCTGCTCTAACTACGAGACTCCGTTCCCCTCCAGAGGCGGAGGCGGGGGTGAGGAGCGCAGGGGTGTCCCTGGGGCGCGGTTTTCTGTTGGTCTCACACCAGCCAGCAGGTGTCGCTGCAGCCCCAGCGTTTCTGCCGGTTCCACACTGGGGAGCTGCAACCCCGGGCGGGCTGGGGCAGGGCCGGATTAACCTTGTGTGACCCCATGGGGGCAATGGGGCGCGGCGTGGGGGGGGCGGTCCCCGGAGCGAGGGGCCGGCTGGGGGCAATGGGGCACGGCGTGGGGGGGGGCGGTCCCCGGAGCGAGGGGCCGGCCGGGGGCAATGGGACACGGCGTGGGGGGGGGCCGGGGGCAATGGGGCGTGGCAGGGGTGGCCCCGCTCCTCCTCGCCCAGTGCGGGGCACTATTTACAAACCAGCAATTGGCAGATGCACAGTGGCCCGCCTGGCCCTTTGCTGCCAGTGTGCCCCTTCCCCCCTGGGGCGGGCCCAGGCCACGCCACACACACATCCCCCCCAGTTCCAGAGCCCCCCTAGCCCCACTATGCCCAGCACCTCCTCCCCCAGGCCCTCCCACAACTGCCCAGCACCCCCCACCGAACCCCACTCCCTAGTGCCCCAACACACACATCTTCCCCACCCCCTCACCGCCCAGCACCACCCCAGATTTCCCACAGACCCACTCCCCCGTGCCCTGCCTCCAGGCCGCACGCACCGGCCGTGCTGGAGGGGTGGGGAGGATGGAGGGGTGTGGGGGAGGAATGGAGGAAGGGCTGGGTAAAGGGACAGGTGGGGGGTGGATGGGGTCGTGGGTAAAGGGAGGGATGGAGGGGTTGGGGGGAGGGACGGCGTGCTGGGGGCAATGGCTGGACGATGCCCCAGTGCATGCTGGGCTGGGGCAGTGTGGGGTGCTCTGCTTGCTGTGGGGCACCCCAAGTGGGTCCCGTTCAGCCCCTGAACCAGGCAGCCCTTGGGCAGGTGAAGGTGCTTGCAGAGAATAGCTGGTCCCTGACTCACACTGGGGACACGCCCCCCCCCCAATAAATCTCCCTTTCCTGAGAACAGATTGACTCATCCAGGCTAAAAATAGTGTGTGTGTGTGGAGGGGGTGGGGGGAACAGGGCTGGGACTGGGAGCCAGGACTCCTGGGTTCTCGCCTCAGCTCTGAGAGGCTTCTTGGTCCAGAATCAAGTTTCCCACATCCTGCGTCTGGTCGGGAACCCCGCTGCACCCCACCCCACCCCGTGCTGCTCCCACCCCAAGGCCGAGCAGGGCTCCAGCCAAGTTTCTCAGTGCAACAAATGAAGACAGAACTGCTCCGGCCCACACAAATTCCAGCAGAAATCCCGGCCCTTGCCCATCTGCACATCCCTGTCCTCGGGGAGAGGCTGACCCGGACCAAAGGTACTGCCCTGGCCCAGCAAATGGGCCTGCTGGCCCTCGCGCCTGGGAGGCTGGCCGGTGTATTCAGAGCCATGCCCGGCCTCCTGGCTGGGGTCTGTATCGAACCTCCGTGCCCCTGGCAACGTCCTAGACTTGAGGGTCTTAACGAGCGTCTCTTGTTTCCACGCACGCCCCTCAGTTGCCAAGGCAGCTTCGGGGTTAAGCGACCCCAGAACCTGCTATCGCGCCTCCCCCACCCCACCCCGAGCCCACTGGGCCTAGCGCCCCAAAACTCAGGGTGGTTGACAGGCCATTCGGCCTCAAAGCTTTACATGAACCATTTACGCCCATGCCTAGATACGGGCCCGGAGCCTACAATGCCACCGCTATGGGCAAGAGGTCTAGTGGCTAGAGCGGGGGGGGCTGGGAACCAGGACTCCTGGGTTCTCTCCTTGATGCTTTCCCCTCACTGTGGAGGACACAGCTGTCAGGGGAGGAGAGGCCAGGAAGGGGTTAACACTAGCCAGACAGGGCTGTTTGTAGGAATCGCCTAATTCCAGGCCCTGCCTTGCCTGGCCCCTTCTGGCACCAGCCCCGGGAGCGCACCCTGGCCAGCTCCTCCCAGCGCTGGAAAACAGAGCCCCCCACCTATACATAGCAATGACCTCATCCGGCGCTGGGACCGCGGCCAGCTCTGGGGTGGGGCGCAGGGGCTGGGTGTACAGGGACCCCTCGCCCGGTGCTGGGACGCGGCCACCTCTGGGGTGCGGTGGGGGCTGGGTATATGTGGACCCCTTGTCCAGGGCTGAGAAGCGGCCGCCTCTGGGGCGGGGCGTGGGCCTCTGCGCGTCCCAGTGTGGTGACTGGAGTTGCCACCGCGGGAGATGGTGACATATCCTCTCTCTGGGTCTTCCCCCGGCCCATCCCTACGCAACAACAGCTGCGTTCAGAGAGCTCCCCACAGCGGAAACGGAGCTCTGAGCTGGAATTTCCACTGGGCCGGATGCCCGTCTGTCCCCACGCCCAGCCTCAGCCTCTGCAGAGAAACAAGCCTTTCACTGACGGGGGGCTGCCCCACATGCCCCCTCTTCTGTGTTCACCCCACCAGCCAGCCTGCCCCCCCAATTCTTGGGCAGGATCAAAGCCAGCGCCCCCTAGAGGGAAAAGGCCCCATTGCCCACCCCCTGAGCCAGCAAGTCCCTGCCATGGGGCCAGATGGGAGCTTGGGCCCCCTACAGGGGAAAGGCCCTGCACCCCATTCCCTGCCCCCCCTAAGCCAGCCAGTCCCTGCCCTGGGGCTGGATGGAATCCAGCTCCCCCTAGAGGGGAAAGGCCCCGGGCCCCATTCCCCGCCCCCCTGAGCCAGCCAGTCCCTGCCCTGGGGCTGGATGGGATCCAGCGCCCACTAGAGGGGAAAGGCCCTATGCCCCATTCCCCGCCCCCCTGAGCCATTTTGTCAGGATAACCCCAGCTTATCCTTATCAGCAAAGCTCTAAACAGGAGAGACGACAGACAAACACAAAGTACCTTTCAGTCATTTATTGTTACCTCCCGTTTTCTCTCTATATATTTATACGTATATAAACTCCCCCCCGCCCCATAATTTGCTAGGTCAATTGTGACACAAACACTTGCAACAAAGACCATAATACTTTTTGTCTGCGTTTATACCAGTGTAAAAAATAGATGTATAAAAAAACCCAGATGAACGATACAAAGAGAGAGACTGGACCGATGTAAGCAGCTAACTACATTCTAGCACTGTGAGGCACAGATCCGGCAACATCACCTTTAAGATAATGGCCGGCAGGACTATTTAAAACCCCTGGATAAATATTCAAGAACCAAGCAAATGGGGGGGGGTTTTTGTGTTTGTTTTTTTTTAATTTCCAGCTAGAGGGCTGATTCGGTGATTTACCTTTAAGACTCCAGCAGGCAAGAATTTCTGACCTCCAGACAAATATTTTCATTAAAGGCTGTGTGCTGTTTAACCACTGGTGGCTTTTTCTTAGGAAGGTGCCAGAGTGCACCCATTACCTTTAAGACTCTGGCAGGCAAGCATTTTTAACCTCCAGACAAATATTTCCATTAAAGGGGAGTCGTCACCTCTTTCCCACCCTCCCCACTGTTTCTCCCCCTACTTCTGCTGGGATTGGAGGTGCTGGGTTTAAAGGCTCCGGCACCCACTGGGCCCTGCTGGTCAGGCCACCGATCTTTCATCTGCTGCAGCTCCCGCTGGATAAAAGGCATAGAATGGCCGGTGATTACCCATGATTCCTCCCCCACTCCCGCCCCCCAGCCACTGTGGAGGGGAGCCAACGGGCTTCTCAGAGGGCCAGGCTAAGGCAAAAAGGATAACACTTATTACAAGGGAGTGGGTATGCCAGGACGGGCAATGCTGGAGAGGAGGAGAGGGGGGAGAAAAGAAGAAGGAAAAAGAATGAAAGTGAGAAAATGAATGAGAGAAAAAGAACAAAAGACCAAGAGAAAGAAAAGAAAGTGAGAGAGAGAGCTCCAAGAAAAGAAGGAATAAATGAGAACGATCGAAAGAGAGAGAAAGAAAATAAACAAATAAATACATGACAGGAAAGAATAAATGAATTAATGAGAGGAAATGAAAGAAAAGAGAGCAAAGAAATAAGAAAGAATAAGAGGGATAAAGGAAAAGAATCAAGGAAATATAAAGACAGTAAATGAAATAGACAAAAAATGAATAATTATGAGAAAGGAAAAGTACAAAAGAAAGAAAAAGAAAGAAAGCATCAAAGAGAGAAGGATAAAGAAAAAAGAAAGAAAGATAAAGACAATAAATGAAAGAAAAAGGATAAAGAAAAAGAAAAGAAAAGAATAAATAAATGAATGAGGGGCAAAACAGACGGATGAAATCCAGAGAACCCGCTGGGAGACCAGCCCTTGTCCCCAGCACTCAGCCGGTCCAGCAGCCCCCGGCGACTAGGCCTGGATGAAGATGAGCCGGGCAGAGTACACCAGGTCAGCCAGGTAAACCAGCAGGTTGATGGCCGTCAGCACAGCAATGGCCACCCACTTATCCCAGTAGCAGAAGTTGTGGCTCTGGCAAAAGGAGGGCCGGCGCGGCTCACCGCCCTGCTTGCGGTCGAAGCTGTAGATGGGCCAGATGACGGTGGCCGTGGCGTACATGAGCACGGCCAGCAGCGTGTAGCCACTTAGGAACTTGTTGAAGGCACAGGGCAGCCAGCCGGTGCACTCCCCGATGCATAGCACAATGACCACCAGCGAGAGGATGAAGCAGATGCAGTAGACGGCCAGGCACCACTTCAGCGCCTCATGGCGGTCGTAGGAGACCGGCTCGCTGATGAAGACAAAGATGATGCAGGCCACGAAGGTCTCCACCACCTTCAGCAGCCCGGGCACGGTGGCCATGTAGCCCGTCACCTCACCCGGCTTGGCCCGGGTCATGGTCACCTCCACCGAGTAGGCCAGGCAGGTGAGGCAGGAGAAGACGGTGGCCGCGATGCGGTAGTCCTTGGTTTTGCCAGTGGTGCGGCCGTTCTGGATGTGGGTGACCGGGTAGATGACGGAGGCTGAAAGGCACATGAGGGTGGCGTACATGGCGAAGGTGATGGGGAAGTTCTTCCAGGAGACGGGCATGCGGTGCTGGAGCCCCACGAACTCCACCACCAGAACCAGCAGCGTCACGGCGAAGCAGAAGCACCAGCAAAACATGCACCAGTCTCCATTACGGTTGTGCCAGCCCCCCTCGTGCACCACCAGGCTGAAGGTGACGCAGGCGAAGAGCACCTCCAGCAGGCGGACAATGCCCACCTGTGAGGTCAGGGCCTGCGTGTTGCCCACGGACTTGGTGCGCTGGATCGGCATGGCGGGGTCACCTGGGGAGGAGGAGATGGGGGGAGAGAGTCAGGGCGTGTTACGGGAATCCGGCATATGAACAGAGCTGGGCAATCTCCATCCAGGGGGCAGCAGGGACACACACACTCCCACCCCCCAGGGCCTGTCTCCGCAGCAGGGGGCGTCAGACACACGCAGAGCCCAGCTGCTCCAGCAGGGGGCAGCAGGAACAGACACACACACGAAATAGGGGGGCCGTTTCTGTGCCTCTGGTCCGAGGCGGACGCCCCATCCCCAGTTGCCGGCAGGGCCCGGCTGAGCTGACCCTGGGGTTCGTGACCCAAGTGCCCTGTGGGGAGTGCCAGGCTGAAAAACTTGGGGAGAGGGGGCTGGGGGCCAGGACTCCTGGGCTCTCTCCCCCGCTCTGAGCGGGGGCTAGTGGTGAGAGCACGGGGAGGCAGGAGTGTGCATCTCTGTACCATGAATGGGGTGGGGAGGAGAAAGGGAGATGGAGGAAGAGAGCGGCCGAACGAAGAAGTGACGGAGGGCTCTGGGCTGGTACAGAAAGATGGGTTCGTGATGGGGGCCCCCTGAGGCTGCGTGGCAGAGAGGGGGATGGGTCCAAGCCATTCCAGGGGCACTGCCAGGCATAGGGCAAATTCACAGAGGGAAAGATCTCCCGCCACCAGTCCTGGGAGCCGACGCCGCCCCCCTCCGGCCCCGTCCAGGTCCTGGGAGCCGACGCCCCCCCCTCCAGCCCCGCCTGGGTCCTGGGAGCCGATGCCCCCAGCCCCCAACTCCAACAGCTGGAATTGCTCAGCCAGGCCTAGAAATATTCTGGCAGGGAGCAGGGGAGCGGGGGAATACACTTAGGTCCCCTCCCCCAAAACCAAGCGGTCAGACGGCTGCTCCCCAATATGCCCCGCTGCCACCCAGTGCTGCCCCCACTTCCTCCCCCGCAGCTTCCACCCACTGCCCTCCCCGCTTGCTTGGATGCGGGGTGAAAGGGTTACAGCCCCTCCCACCTCTCAGTCCCTGGGGCAGGCCAGGAACCTTCAGATTGAACTGGGGGGGGGCGTTAACGGGCCCCACATGGTTTATGACGGGGGGGGAGGGAGGAACTGAGAGCCGGACGCTGGGAGGGAGACCTGTTCCCATACCCCAGTCCTGGGGTCCCTCCACAGTTGAGCAGTGGGCCCAGCCGATGGTAGGGGAGGAGGGTCTAGTGGTTAGAGTGGGGCAGGGGGGAGCGCTGGGAGCCAGGACTCCCGGGTTCTACCCCTGGCACACTGTGCACCCTCTGCACCACTCCGTCCCCTCTGTCTGCCTCAGTTTCCCCACCTCCGAGGAGAGAAGGGGCTGGGAGAACCAGTCAGTCAGTCAAGTTAATTAGACACTGACAGCCGGGGTGATGGTGAAGGCGGTTAACGGTGCCAGTAGGAGCCCTGTCATTTCCTCTCGGTCCCTCCCTAGCACAGATCTGCTGTGTGGGTGCCTGGCAGGCGGGAGACTCACCCCGCCCCGGCCCTGCCCACGACGCTGGGGGCCAGACACTAGATCCTGCTCTGCCTGGGAAGAAACTAGGCAACTGGGCTGGGAGCCCTACTCCTCCCTGACCATAGAACCCAGGAGTCCTGGCTCCCAGCCCCGCCCCCCGCCCCCGCAACCAACCCACCAACTAGACCAGTGCTTGTCTGTCTCAGAGCCACTCCCTTGGTCTCTCGGGTAGTGCTGGGCTGGGGGCCAGAGAGGAGGGGCAAAGGGAGGGGGGGAAGGGCAGTGGGGGGGTGACTGAGGGGGCGGGGGGCAGCCTGCAGCCGCTGCCCTTATAAGGCCTAGAGAAAACCCAACCCCGGCATGTTATTTTCCACCTCACGTCGGCATTTCAGGGCCTTGGGCGCAGGCCTGGAAAGGCGAGAGCTCCAGGATGCCAGGATTCTGTCCTGCCCCTGTGCAGGCAGTGGGGTCTAGGGGTTAGAGCAGGGGCTGGGTGCCAGGACTCCTGGGTCCGTTCCCTGGCTCTGTTACTGCTTTGCTGGGCTACCTGGGGCGAGCTACTACCCCGCTCTGTGTGTCTGTTTCCCCAGCTGGGAAGCGGGGCTCACGACCCCACACCTTCCTGCACCGAGTGCCCTACGGGCACCCGGCGCTGGCCCAGGGCAGCGGGTCCCCAGAGTGCCACTAGCCCGGATGAAAGCCCCCCCCCCCTTCGCCAACATTTCAATTTACACCTCCCTGGGCACTGGCCCTGCTCAGCCGCGGGAAATCCAGGTCTCGGTTTTCTATACAACACTGCTGATGCCAGGGCCCCACCCACTCTAACCACTAGCCCACACTTCTCTCACCCTAGCCCGCAGAACCCGCCTGGAGGGGCTCCTGCATTGCCATGCTGTGCTACCTCCACCCCACCCGAGCAGGGGCAGCTCTGAGCCCTCCCTGTAGGGGGCAGCGGGACAGACGGACACGCCCCACCAGCCCCTGCAGGGCCCACCTGCCAGTGCGACAGACAGACACTGCCTGGTAAACTCCTTCCCCCAGCCGTGACCCCCCCACCCCGCCCATGTCACTCAAGGGGCCGGGAGATCAGGGGATGAAATATATGGGGTCACAGTCATTCCCCCCCACAATTCCCTCTTCCAGGGGGCTGAGATTCTACAGCTCCCTCCTTTTAATGGGGTAACCCCCCCGGCAAAATATTTACCCCAGTGATGGGCCAAAATCGCTGTGGGGGGATATGTTAAGAGGCATGGGGGCAGTGTCCTGTGGTGGGGCTTTTTGGGGGGGACAGAGGGGTAGCCCCACAAATCCTGCACCCCAGGTTTGACAGTCCCCGCCCCCAAATTTCAGTGCAGACAGGGTGTGGCTGGACCCTGAGCTGCCTGGAATAAACTGCCATTGACAGGGTGTGGCAACCCCCCACGGAGGGACCAAATCCCCCCACCCCCAAATCACATCCGGCCCCTTCAATCCACCAGAGAGCAGGGTCATCCCACCCACTGCAGCCCCCCCCCCGGTACTCCACTCACCCCCCACTAAACCCCTCACTTTCAGACCCAGCCCCAGCCCCCAGAAATCCTCCCAAGCCACACACCCCTCATCCTCCCCACAGCCTCCCCAAAACGGTGATACCCCCAAAAAGTTCCGCTCACCCCCCCCCCCAGAATAACCCCTCGGTTCCGATCCAAGCCCCACACCGAGTATGACCCCCCCAACACACACCCCGCTCCCAGAGCTGGGGAGTCCCCCAGACATGTTTCCATTACGCTCTAGGCGCGATGTGTAGGAAGCTGGCGGCGGGGGGACGCATGGATCAGGGTATTTACCTCGCTGGGGGGCCCGGAGAGGCGGCTGGGGGGCTGGAGCGGATCTGGGGCGCTGGTTCCTCCGCTGCGCGCTAGCTGCGGAAATTTTGAAGCTTGGGGCTGGGCGGGGAAGGGGGGGTCTCTCCGCTCCGGGCGGGGGCAGACACCCCGCCCAGCCCAGCCGGGACAGCGGCGTCCACGTGCCACCCCGGGGAGGGTGGGGCAGCGTGTGTGTCTCCGCCCCACCCCACCCCACCCCACAGGCAGAGACGGGATCCCCGGGCATGGACTGCCTGGACTAGGGACATAACCCCCTGCCCGTGTCCCCCCGTCTCCCCTCGCCCCGGCAGACACACCCCAGAGCTCCCCACCATACACACAGCCCCCCGTGCCCCAGAGCTCCCACAGCCCCCCATCACACTCCAGAGCTCCCACCCCCCATGCCCCAGAGCCCCCCCCACCCCACCATCACACACAGCCCCCCCCCGTGCCCCAGAGCTCCCACCCCCCTGCACACAGCCCCCGTGCCCCAGAGCTCCCACAGCCCCCCATCACACTCCAGAGCTCCCACCCCCCATGCCCCAGAGCTCCCCACCCCACCATACACACAGCCCCCCGTGCCCCAGAGCTCCCACAGCCCCCCATCACACTCCAGAGCTCCCACCCCCATGCCCCAGAGCTCCCCACCCCACCATACACACAGCCCCCCGTGCCCCAGAGCTCCCACAGCCCCCCATCACACTCCAGAGCTCCCACCCCCCATGCCCCAGAGCTCCCCACCCCACCATACACACAGCCCCCCGTGCCCCAGAGCTCCCACAGCCCCCCATCACACTCCAGAGCTCCCACCCCCCATGTACACCCCCCATACCCCAGAGCTCCCCACCCCACCATACACACAGCCCCCCGTGCCCCAGAGCTCCCACAGCCCCCCATCACACTCCAGAGCTCCCACCCCCCATACCCCAGAGCTCCCCACCCCACCATACACACAGCCCCCGTGCCCCAGAGCTCCCACAGCCCCCCATCACACTCCAGAGCTCCCCCCCACACCCCCCATGTACACCCCCATACCCCAGAGCTCCCCACCCCACCATACACACAGCCCCCCGTGCCCCAGAGCTCCCACAGCCCCCCATCACACTCCAGAGCTCCCACCCCCCATACCCCAGAGCTCCCCACCCCACCATACACACAGCCCCCCGTGCCCCAGAGCTCCCACAGCCCCCCATCACACTCCAGAGCTCTCACCCCCCATGTACACCCCCCATACCCCAGAGCTCCCCACCCCACCATACACACAGCCCCCCGTGCCCCAGAGCTCCCACAGCCCCCCATCACACTCCAGAGCTCCCACCCCCCATACCCCAGAGCTCCCCACCCCACCATACACACAGCCCCCCGTGCCCCAGAGCTCCCACAGCCCCCCATCACACTCCAGAGATCCCACCCCCCCATGTACACCCCCCATACCCCAGAGCTCCCCACCCCACCATACACACAGCCCCCCGTGCCCCAGAGCGCCCCACCCCCATGCACACAGTCCCCCGTGACCCAGAGCTCCCAGCCCCCCTGCACACAGCCCCCCGTGCCCCAGAGCTCCCAGCCCCCCCTGCACACAGCCCCCCATCCCCCAGGGCTCCCACAGCCCCCCGTCACACTCCAGAGCTCCCACTTCCCCATGTACACCCCCATACCCCAGAGCTCCCCACCCCACCATATACACAGCCCTCCGTGCCCCAGAGCGCCCCACCCCCATGCACACAGTCCCCCCTGCCCCAGAGCTCCCAGCCCCCCTGCACACAGCCCCCCGTGACCCAGAGCTCCCAGCCCCCCCTGCACACAGCCCCCCATTCCCCAGAGCTCCCACAGCCCCCCATCATACTCCAGAGCTCCCACCCCCCATGTACACCACCCCCCCCACCCCAGAGCTCCCACCCCCCCATGCACACAGAGCCCCATAGCCCAGAGCTCCCAACCCTCAGCGCCCCCACATGCACCCCGGTCCCCATGCACCCCAGAGCTCCCCACCCCCAATGCACACAGCCCCCCCATCCCCCAGAGCTCCCACAGCCCCCCATCATACTCCAGAGCTCCCACCCCCCCCATGTACACCACCCCCCATAGCCCAGAGCTCACAACCCCTAGCGCCCCCACATGCACCCCGGTCCCCATGCACCCCAGAGCTCCCCACACCCCATACACAGACCCCCCCCATACCTGAGAGCTCCCCACCCCCAGCGCCCCCCACATGCACCCCCTCCCCATACACCCCAGAGCTCTGCACCAACCCCTCTCCCGCACACACCCTACCCCACCCAGAAACATCAACCATTTCAGAAGGGTCTGAGAGGGATGGGGGAGATTCACCCTAAGGGGATGTGTGTGGCGGGTGCTCTGGGAGGGGGCAGGATACAGGGGCAGATCCGAGGGGAAGGGCAAGGTACAGGGGTGGATGGGCCCCGGGGCGGATCCGAGGGGCAGGACAGCGGGGTGGATGGGCCCCGGGGCGGATCCGAGGGGCAGGATACCCATACCAGGGTGGATGGGCCCCGGGGGCAGATCTGGGGCAGAGAGGGGGAAAGGGAGCGAGCCAGGGAGGGTGCGGTGCAGGGCCGGGGCCTGCGGGAAGGTTGCTGTGGCGTTGCTCAGAGAACAAAGGTGTTTCCTGTCTTTGCGGTAAGTGTCACATCACTTCTGCATCAGTCCCCCCGGCAGTGCCCAAGCCGGGACTCCGGCGCTGCGAGCTTCCCCGCAGCAGTGCCCCACGGGCTGTAGCTGTGTTTGGGGGGACTGTTTTTCGTTCCCATGGTGACGGGAGGGGGAGGGGCTCCCCGCTGCGCACAGCTGCACTCCTCATCTGGCTCAGCTTCTGCCACCAGCGGGCGGGGCTGGGGGGACAGCAGCGCCCCTCCCCCAATGCAGGGATGTCCCACAGGAGGCCCCGCCCCTCCCGGATCTCAATATTTGGTTGCCCGGACAACCCTAGCGCCGCCCCCAACTTCCATCACCTGACACAGAGGTTCTCACAGGTCCTCGCACCCCGACCCGCTTCTGACAACGACAATTAGGGCACCTAACGCCAGCCCTGGCGACCCCATGACAACGGGGTCGAGACCCACAGTTTGATAACACCCGTCCTGACCCCTAGAGGGCCCCTCCCCCTGCCAGCGCGGCAGAGGGGGGCAGGGTCTAGTGGTTAGAGCGGGGGGGGGGCTGGGAGCCCGGACTCCTGGGTTCTCTCCCCAGCTCTGGGAGGGGAGTGGGGTCTAGTGGTTAGAGCGGGGGGGGGCTAGGAGCTGGGACTCCTGGGTTCTCCCCCCGGCTCTGGGAGGGGAGTGGGGCCTAGTGGTTAGAGCGGGGGGGCTGGGAGCTGGGACTCCTGGGTTCTCTCCCCGGCTCTGGGAGGGGAGTGGGTTAGAGCAGGAAGAGCCTGGGAACCAACAGAGCACTCTGAGCTGCCTTTTAGCGCTGCAAGCCAGGAGGAGCCCCCTGAAAAGAAAATTCCCAGCTCCTCCGCCCCCCCACTCGCCAATCCCCCCACGCTCCCTCCACAAGGCAGCCGCTGGTTCCACTTCCCCTTTCCTTGGTGGCAGCAGGAACAGAAGGTTCATTCACCCCCCAGCCCGGGCCCAAAGCTCTCTGGAAGTGGCGGGGCAGGGAATGGGGCTGAGGGCCTCTCCCCTGTGGGGGCTGGCAGAAAACGAGACATGGGGCCTTTCCCCTCTTGCAGGACCTGCCCCATTACTGGGGCAGAGCTGCCTCCTGTGGCCAGAGCCGGCATTGCAAGAAGCAGCCAACACCTTTCAGCAGCTCTCCTGGGGCCCCCTCCCCTCAGCCCCTTGGTTACAGCAGGGACAGCGAGCCAGGACTCCTGGGTTCATTAACTGGCTCTGGGAGATTCTGGGCGGCAGGGAGCGGGGCAGGGGCTCAGTAGGGGGTGCTCTGCTCTGACCATCAGCGCTGGCCCCAGTGCAGTGCTAGGGGACATCAAGCCAGGGGTCCCCATATACCCAACCCCCGCACCCCACCCCAGAGGGGCCGCATCCCAGCGCCGGGCGAGGGGTCCCCAGATAACCAGCCCCTGCACTCCACCCCAGAGGGGCCGCATCCCAGCGCCAGGCGAGGGGTCCCCGGATTACCAGCCCCCGCATCCCACCCAGAGGGGCCGCATCCCAGCGCCAGGCAAGGGGTCTCCGGATAACCAGCCTCCGCACCCCACCCCAGAGGGGCCACATCCCAGGGCGTGGGGAGCTCACACAAACGCCCGGCAGGGGGCAGCACTGTTTCACACAATACAACCTTGTGGGGTTTATTGCTGATTCCATCCCTCCACTGATACAATCCCGCCACTGATTCCCATGCAGCACCCTCCACTTTGGGGTTGGGGGTCTGCCCTCTCCTGGTTCGGGGGAGGGGGGGAGAGAAATTTCCATCTCACCGGGAGGGGGCATCCTCGCTCCACATCTGGGCATGCTCCTTGGGGACCATCTGGCTGTGGTATGTGGGGGGACATGGTGTGCATGGGGGGGGGTATCGGGCATCTGGAGCACATCAATTTCAGAGTGTGAAATTAACGAGCTTCCATCCATGATTGATTGGCAGGAGAGACCTGAAGATTAGACAAGATTCCCAGAGTGGGGGTGTGGTTTTGGGGGGACAGTGGGAGTGTCTCACCTTGCAACCCCCCCCCCAACACACACACACACTCCCTGCTGTCGGGCCAAAGGAACCGGCCACTTCAGCAGATGGAAAGGGGGGCAGCTTGATCTGCTGTGGGCATCAGTATTGGGGGTTCCCCCCAAGGCTCCCCCAGATCTAGGGGGACAGGCAGCCTGGGAAGGCAGAGGGGACGATGGTGGCGCGGTGTATTCAACTGGAAGAGGGCAGAGGTGGAATCCAGCCCCAGGACAGCGCCGAGTGGGGACAGGGATGGGGGGAAAGGCAGAGAAAGAGGGGACCATGGGGTGGGGGGAAGCAGCACACACTACAGGAGTCTGACCGGGATGCTATTTGTCACAGGAGACCCAGCTCCGACTCCAGCCCCGGCCTCAGGCCTCCGTGGGTTGCCGGGCCCCCCCAGCCGCCCGCAGCCCCCCCGGCTCGGTGTACTGGGTCTACTTGTGAGACGGTGTCTCCTCCTTGCTCAGCACCTGTGGGGAGGCAAA